GACTAGGACACTCGGAGAGGGATTCTCTTCATAGATGGTGGGAACGCAATGCACGGATGTCAGTATTGATCAAAAGGTCAGAGGTCAAGAAAAGCTTGATAAGGTCACATCGGTGTAGGCAATTTCATGTAATGGTAATAAAAAATAACATCATAAGTGAAAAGCTAGTACACGGTTCTATGCGTGCAGATATATAGATTTTGACAATTTATTTTTATAAACAACTGCTTACCTTATTCTACCAACTCAGTTTAAAGAATTCAATTGGTTAACTCACATCAACCAAGAAAACATCAAAATGACTTTAGCAGAATAAAGCTTACATCATTCACAAGCGGACCATTGAGCATTTATTTTTAAAACTACACTCTAATGTTTACAATGATAAATCAATGAAATAATGCAAATTGTAATGTTACCAGAATTATTTTGCCAGAAGCAACAAAAACTGGACAATGCGGATGGCATCATCTGGTTGCAATATCCTATACTGGCCTTTGAAAGCCAAAATTATAGAAGAATCAGCGACATCAGTCTGCGAATGACACGCTTATCTCCAGTTGCAAAAATTGCTGTTTGATGAAGACGTGTCTAAATGGAATAAAAACAACACGTATTTGAAACAACATCAAACTTTCATCACGGTACAACTGGAGATATGTGTATGTATGTATGTATGTATGTATGTATGTATGTATGTATGTATGTATGTATGTATGTATGTATGTATGTATGTATGTATGTATGTATGTATGTATGTATGTATGTATGTATGTATGTATGTGTGTGTGTGTGTGTGTGTGTGTGTGTGTGTGTGTGTGTGTGTGTGTGTGTGTGTGTGATTTAGATTTATAACGTTACAATGTCTGCATTATGGTGGTATATAGCACTGGGGCACGTTACCCTGACACCAGGCCGAACATTCCAAGCACAAACCTCTTAATACTGACCGCCAAGCGAGGCAGCTGCTAGTACCATTTGTATATAAGTTCGAATCCGCGACCTCCGCATCCGAGGAATATGCTCTAACCACTTTGGCCACTTGAGTGATCGATACATCAGTGCAAACAAAAAATTAATCGATAACGCCCCCGCCCACCCACCCCCAAAACAACTTATACGCCAAGGTTATGGGGAACCTACACCAGATGTTGTGTTAGCATTCTGCAAAGCAAACATAACTATGGGGTTAGTACTGTTGAGTGCCAGAGAACACTACCAACTTATGAAATGAATTCTATGGCAGACAAAGAATATCTGACAGGATGGACACACCTTTTTATGCAAGAAGGCAATAGCCTGACAGGTGAGCCTGACACTTAAGAGAAATCAAGTAACTCGTTCAAACTAGAATTAAACCCTATCGTTAATATGTTATCCTGACACCAGACCGACCAGTCCTAACACTAACCTCTTAATGCTGAGCGCCAAGCGAGGTAACTGCTGTTAGTACCATTTTGTAAAAGTCTTTGGTATGATTCGGCCAGGGATCAAATCCGCGACCTCCCGCATCCGAGGCGGATGCTCTAACTACTAGGCCACATGAGCGGTTCTAATACGTTTTCACCCTTGCGTATAAAAAAAACCATTTGAACAGATTTGCGTCACAGATTCAAACATAAAAATGTTACATTCTGAAAGCACCCAAAAGCATTCTTTTCAGTGTTAATTTTGCAGATACAAACACCATGATTTCGGCTGCTTTATATGATGTGCAAACTTCTTTATATGTGGTGCTTTTGTACTTATATGTTGTGCAAACTTCTTTATATGCGGTGCTTTCGTCCTTATATGATGTGCAAACTTCTTTATATGGGGTGCTTTCGTTCTTATATGATGTGCAATCTTCTTTTTTTATGCGGTGCTTTCGTACTTATATGATGTGCAAACTTCTTTATATGCGGTTTTTTCGTACTTATATGATGTGCAAACTTCTTTATATGCGGTGCTTTCGTACTTATATGATGTGCAACCTTCGTTATATGGGGTGCTTTCGTCCTTATATGATGTGCAAACTTCTTTAAAAAAATTCTTTAAGCAGTTGTTTCAGTCTATCACTTGCCTATAATTTCCCCAACACTTTAAAACTGCTTTTTTAAAATTATTTCTCTGAAACTAATACCCAAATGTGTTAAAAGGATGAATAACAAAAGCAGTTGGAATGGGTTGAAATTATATATATATATATATATATATATATATATATATATATATATATATATATATATATATATATATATATATATATATAATTTCAACCCATTCCAACTGCTTTTGTTATTCATCCTTTTTGTTTACGTCTTTTTCATTGCTTTTGTCATCTTTTAGCTCTTCGCATCCTTTCCAAACATTTTAAGATCAAGTTTCACTAACTGTTTTCAGTAAGGTTTCCAGTAACAGCTGAGTCAGTGACACGCCATGCTTTTGCTTTTAACGTCTGCACATCTGTGGATTGTTTTGCAATATATACCTTTATTTACCTAACTAAATTTCAAGTTAGTTTATCTAAATATTATGACCCTACAAGTCATATCAAAGTACACTTTTTATGTCGAAATAGAATTGAAATGTGTTTCATATGGTCTGTGAAAATGCGTCGAACAATATAAAAAGGAAAGAATTAAGAAAGTATCATCTCAAAAAAATATCCACGCAGAGGTGATGAAATTGCAAAGCACTTGGTAAAAATTCAAAGAGATTTCATAGAGCAGAAGGTGAATGTTTGTAAAGGAACACGACACAAGAGCAGTACATAACATCACACGAAAAGAACTTAAAACCAACACAGATACCATAATATACTGTTTAATAGATAGCGGAACTACTGTTTTCGAATCTTGTTAAATTGATTTCAACGTAACGTACATTCTCAACATACACTGTGCAAGATATTGAAAATAACAACGAAGAATGAACCAAAGTAAAAAGAAAACATAAGCATTACAGTATCATACATCCAAATTCCAGTGTTGCTTTACGATTATTCTCCAATCATTTATGCAGGATAAACAGAAGCATTTCGTAAGAAACAAAAACATTAATAATTCGGTTTACTATACGACAGTTAAATCTGTTCTTGAAATCGCAGTTAATATCCTTCAAAAAAGCTTTTGAAATTTACAATCGGTACACCATAACCAAAAAACATTACCGAAACCACAGAACTGATCGTGACGTTTCATTCAGACTGTTCACAATTGACTGACTGATAGCACATTGACGCCATACAATCAATGTTAAATAAAAATATATACATATATAACAGAACATTCATTATTCTCTCCAGATGCCCAAGTTTTTCTCTGAATAAACAACAGCTCAACGTATGTGAAAAGTTGCAGCTGTCTAAAATGATTTGGTCGAGGAGATCTAAACATTCAAAATGCAGAACGAAATACAAAAATTGCATATTGTTAGAAGCCAGTAGGGGATCAGTGTCAGTTAGCGTAGGCATTTCAACAGCTTGAGTGTGTACGTGACAGGATATACAACGCAGCCAATATAGTTGGAGGAAGAAAAACCTGTGAAGACCCGGGAAAGAACCACCGACCCACAGGAAGCTACTGATAAGAAATCTCACATATCCACTCTGGTCGAGCCGAAACAAGAACCAAAGCTGCCCAAGGTGAGATATGAATGATTTGTAAAAGTAAGCGCTTTGGACTACTCTGACGACAAGAGAGCCAGTTGATAACATAAATATCAGACTATTTGTTTCGTTACAGAGAACAGATTTTGTTGATGAGCATTACATTTCGATTGAACTCGAAATAAATAAAGTGTCAAAGATGGACCCACTGCAAATTATGAAAAGTGCTGATGTGGAACGTAAGAACCACAACTCAAAAGTTAAGTCTCTACTAATGATAATTACACGGTATGCACATCCATCAGCAATGTTGAAATGTTATCCTTCAGTAGACTAATCAAGTACTTGCTGAATCAAATACAGTTTGCGAGTTTCGGAAACGCCGCATTCTATACATTTTTATTCGTCAAATCAGAAATATAAAAATGCGTTATAATAATGGGTATTATTCACATTTACTCGAGAATTTACTAGTTAACACATTTCATTAACTTTTTATTTATATCAATTCCGAACCATTATAGAGGGATACACTTAACAGGCTGGGTACCAGCATAAGAGGTAAAGATGGCAGAGTAATAGAATTTCGTAGTAAGAATGTAACACATATTCTTGACAAAGAGTAAATAAATTGGCTTGAAAAAAAATCACTTCGAGGTCCAGGAAAACCGTTACATATTGAGATACATACAATGTCGTCAATGTATTTGTCCCTAACAAATTAATTGATGCTGCAAATAAAATATCTGCATTTAAAAAAGGTTTATAACCAGATATTAAACATATTTATTGATAAGAAATTGAAAGACAAAAGGAAATGGAGGGAAGAGCTACGATAAAGATTGATGAGAAATTGGAAGATCAAGACTTTTTTCTAGCGGAGATTATTAAGTGTTCTATTATTGCCTTAAAGACCCAACTCTCAAGAAGGAAAATAAGCAGATGGTCTACCGTTGGTTAGCAATGTCTAGAACAGAAACTAAATATTGAAACAGATATCTTGAAAAGCGACATGGAGAACTAGGTACTGTACAATATTATTTGGAGGAGATGCACACAGACTCGAATAACGAAACCAAGTAGAACGACCACGAGATTAAAATGATAATTAATGGTTTGAATAGATTACTGACATGAACGACAAGACCACGGCTTCCACTAGCACCTGTTTGTGTGTATGTGTGTGAGTGTGTGTAATTTAGATTTTTAGCGCAGCTTTAACAATTTTTCAGTCATATCACTACGTTGTCTGCAGTGTGACAGTTTATAGTGATGTCCAGCACTGGGGCATGAAATCCCATCCAGTCATGTTATCCAGACACCAGACCGACCAGTCCTAACACTAACCTCTTAATGCTGGGCGCCAAGCGAGGTAACTGCTGTTAGTACCATTTTGTAAAAGTCTTTGGTATGATTCGGCCAGGGATCGAAACCGCGACCTCCCGCATCCGAGGCGGATGCTCTAACTACTAGGCCACATGAACGGTTCTAATACGTTTTCACCCTTGCGTATTAAAAAAAAACCAACAAAACATTGAACAGATTTGCGTCACAGATTCAAACATAAAAATGTTACATTCTGAAAGCACGCAAAAAGCATTAATTTCAGTGTTAATTTTGCAGATACAAACACCCCGATTTCGGCTGCTTTAGGAAGCATTAGGTAAACAAGGGTTGTTGTATTTATTGAAATTTGAAATTCAACCACTACCACCCCATCACCAAAACAATTAGTTGATGTTTACAGTCTTGACTGTGCTCACGTTTTGCTGAATTCAAGTTGCAGATCAGATAGGGTAGAGTATTATGTATCTCAAACCATTCAGTAAGGTTTATACACGATTTTTGTCTACATGGCTAGTGAACCTCCACAATTTAAATATAGGTTGGCTTTAATACTGGCATTTACATTGTATTAAATGAAAATAACCGCAACCAACGTTCTGCGTATTGCTTAAACGTTAAACAAGAATCTGTGATACATTTTTACGGCGTAAATGAAACACGTATATATTATCTGGAAGATATCTAAAGTAAACACTGGCAGCTGCATCAGAACTGTTACTCTAAAACGCAGACGACGAATGACTGCTGCAACGATTGGAGGGACAATATATAGTGGTTTACGCAGGACGCAACACCAAAGTTGACATCATGAAGGTGATGAACAAATCAGACACAACGATATAATTGAGGAGGGCCAATGAACAGAGATATGCCAGAGAATGAATGAAAATTGTAATGAAAGCAGGACCAAGACTCAAACTACTTGATTGAAAATTGAGAGCACAATGTTTGGTTACTCGGTATTTCTTGAACATGGACGATACTTATTGTTTTAAGCATCTGCACTTAGTGATGGCGATAGACGATATTCATCATTTAAATTATCCAAAAATTTAAAAATAATGTAACCAGAGCTAAGGATTAAATAAATGTAAATGTATTTTCGTTCCAATTGTAATGGTGATTAGCAAGTATGTTGCTGAAAGTGTTGTTAGGATTTGTTATCAAATTAGAACCAAAGATGTCGACGTATGGTAAAAACATAACTGTTAGCAAGAAAGGATAAGATTACTCTCCCATCCAGCAGCACCAAACGAAAACCAACTTTGGAAGTTTTGCAGACCGAGGCTGAATCTAAATATATTTTTTAAACTAGGTAGTATTTTCGTGTCGTTGGACAAGGAGGTTAAAGAGTATGCTAAAATATAGTGGTAAACATTTTTTGGTAGAATACTTGTGATAGACATCAGATAGAAACGATGATATTTTAAAGATATATAACTTAAACGTTTTCGCGACAAAGTGGTTACATGTATTGCTTAAGACAAAACATGACTGAGCAGGGTATCATGAGCTAAAAATGAAAGTAAGTTAACATTATACTCGCTTAAGTGGCCGAAGTAATAGAAAGTGAAAATCAACACGACGAAATGGGAAATCCCGTATGATACTGCTGATTTCGATGCAATTACTTATTCGACGAATGACAAGCGAATAAATGGACCCAGTTTTGTTAACGAATAAGTCACTGCAGAGAAAATTAGAGACGGGGCAACCAGTACACATTAAATGAACAAAACTCTTGATTCTACGATAATAAGCTTGAATGCTAATGGCAATGGACAAGATCTCGCTGGCAAAAGAACAGTCAAACAGTTTATTCACGTACTTTCAAAATGCACCAGTTCATCGAAGTAACGTAATATTTCATTGATGAACATCAAAACACAGAAATGAGCAACATGATATTTCATTGGTGAACATCAAAACACAGAAATGAGCAACATAAGTGTCAACTAATATTACACCGATATCACTGGACAACAAATTTTAGAAAAGTTTTGCTTCCTGAAAAGTGTTTGGTGATTATGATAGCCCTCGTCAAAGTGAACACAAATATAGTTTCAGATTGACTGTGTCACGTAAGATTTTTTTTGAAACATGAAATTAAGTTTTATTGACTACAACGTGTTTAATCGCATAAAGTTTCTGACACGCTGCATAAGTTTAATGGGGCCCAAAGTGTTTTGCTCCTGATTTTTGTTTGTACTCAGTGTCCGGTTTATCTCATTGCAGTGTCCAACAATAGTCAGCCAGCATTTATGGATTCCTGTTGCCCTGATACCGTTTTTCCAATGTAGCTATGTCCTGGTGAAACCTTTCACCATGTTCATCACTGACTTATCCAACATTTGTGGGGAAGAAGTCCAAGTGTGAATGCAGGGAATAAATCTTCTTCATTGCATTTTGCACTTCATGGTTATGTATGCTTTAAGAAATTTGTCAATCAGCTTAATGTAGTTTGGTGCTCTGTGGTTGCCAAGAAAATTCTCAACGACATCCTTGAATGCTTTTCAGGCGATTATCTCTGGCCCCACTAAGAGATCTTCGAACCGCTTGTCATTGATGACCTGTCTGATCTGTGGCAGAATGAAAATGCCTTATTTAATCTTGGCATCAGTAATTCTTGGAAACATTTGTCTCAGATAACGAAAACATTCACCTTACTTGTTCATCGCTTTCACAAAATTTTTAATTAGTCCCAGTTTTATGGGAAGAAGAGGCAAAATATCTTTGTCGGATCAACAAGTGGTTTATGTGCCACGTTTTTCTGTCCTGAAACCAAATTCTTACGAAGTGGCCAGTCCTTTTTAATGTAATGTGACTCTTTTCACGGCTGTCCCATTCGCAGATGTAACAACAGTACTTGGTATATCCGACCTGCATTCCAAGTATCAGAGCAACTACCTTTAGATCTCCACAGATGTTCCAGTTGTACTTGGTGTACTGGATGTGTTTCAACAACAGTTTCATGTTTACATATGTTTCTTTCATGTGTGCACCATAGCCAACAGGTACTGAAGGGTGAACATTGCCATTGTGTAACAAGACAGCCTTGAGGTTTAACAATGATGAATCAATAAAGAGACGCCATTCTTGTTGGTCATACTGGCAACCCAAAGATGTGAACAACCCTTCAATGTCAGTACAGAATACGAGGTTGTCAGCCTGTGTAAAAGGCTTTATTAAATCATCTTGGTGACATCGAACGACAGAAATTTTTGTATCTTTTGACAGCAAACGCCATACTTGCAGTCTTGAACACAGTAGTTCTGTGTTTGCTTTGACAAACCTAAGTCCCTCACCAGGTCGTTTAATTTTGACTGTGTTATTAGATGAGGTTCACCAGACATGTGTGGTTCAAAATCCGGATTAATGTCACTGTCAGTCCTCAGGTAGTGTGTGACAAATTGGCGGCGTGCAAAACACACCAACCTCTTTCACTATGGTTCGTTGCTAGGGAATGACCTCCGCGGTGTAGTTTACCCAGTGTGGATAGATAGAAAGAAGAATGCAGATCACTGAACGAGTATATTGAAGAAATAACAAAACGAGCCCCCTTGCAATGAACAAATATAAAATTTAATCAGTTTATCAACAGAATTTAAAATGAAAAGAAAGCAATGACTTAGTTACTAAAGAAGGAAAAATGGTACTAACATGTACTCAAAGAAAAAAGACAATACAAATTTCTTTAAATGTAAAATTACTTTCAATGTTAATATACTGTCTTCATTGCCAATGAGATGTGACCTTTGAGTGCAACGATGAGAGACTTCATCACCTATTTTATGCGGACATCAAGACTTCCGTTCGTCCCTGCTCTGCCGATCTTTGTCTAGCTGTTTCGTCTTGGACTCTTGTCCGTCGAACTCTGACTTAATCGTCTCTGGACTTAGATTTCTGCGTAGAACTTGTTCTGGTCCTGTGATTGTTCAGGGATTTCTCATGTGAATCCAGGAAAGCTGTTTCCTTTTGCCGTTTCTTTTATTCGTTTCCACGAATCTCACGTATAGTCTGTCTCCTGAGACAACTATCTGGCCCCTTACTTTATAATGAAGACGTACTTTTTACGAATTCAAAATGTAGAGTTTGCCTACTTGCTGAGACAAAACTCTCGCTTTACTGCCAAATCACGAGATAACGTCTCACACGATCTCCCGGAGTCTCGACCACTCTTTTTCCAAGTAAGATTGAAGACTGCTGAATTTTCCTAAAGTAAAACCTTTAATTTCTTACAGAGTTACGCCCATAAATCCATATTTACCAATCGGAATAGACTGTTTCCTAAACATGTTAATAGAATTTTGGATTGACAAGAAAACTAAACAACTAACCATGCCGTAATTAATCATTACTTTTAACTATCATCTATAGCCAGCTGCCGCCTTTAACCGGTCGATTTTGGGGAAAGGTCTTATGTCATTCTCTTGTACCATAGCATCTGACTCGGTCATGTTACGTCGGCTAGAACGAATTCCCTTTTGACGTTTGGAGTTGAAATGAAAAATAATCATCTAACTATCTCTAGCCCTTTCTACTTTAATTAAGTTGACTTTGATACAATTCCTTTAAACAAAGCTTCTAAGAGTTTTCAAAATTCGACACATCACATTGTGCATTGCAACATCTTCGTCTGCTTCGTCTAAGCTACATTTCTCTGGTGTTTCTGGTATTGGAAGACTGTCGTCATGTGGTACTAGTTTTATGGCTGAAGACAGAGTTGGTTATTCAATCGATTTCTTATTTTTAGCAGAAAAACCAGAAACATTAGTCAGGCAAAAGTCACAGTCTGTCACGTGATCCTTCTGCTCTCGCTATATCATCGTGACAGCAAACAAGATTGCTTCCGAGTACCTCTGAGCTAAGCTCTAAGATTGACAGCACATATTGCACAACAAATGCGAGGAGCCCAGGCCTTGTCTTGATCACCAATCTTACAAAGTACAGTTCATATGCTTTCTTAACAAGTCCAGTCATTGTAACTTACATTAGACAATGATATTAATTGAAACAGTCTCAATATGATATAGACAAACTGATATCAACTTAATATGTAGGCTATCATCTGCGTATGCACACTGCTTTTATAGCCTTTTCAGGAAGCATCTATCAAGCCTAGGCATGTCCGGGCATG